GTCTCTGACCTCTGTTTGACCTCATCCATTTCGCTGGTATTCGGGTACCTCTTTCAAAATGCAGACCTGCCTGTTATGTAATGTTATTTCAATGGAAGAGCTAACTAGCGCGTGGTTAACCTGGGTTAATACTATAGTGACATTGCCTGAGTTTTGAAAATATTGAAGTTGAGTTCTGACGCTGTTTTCGGAATAAATTCGAAAAAAATAGGCCATTATTTTTGTAAAATGGAAGTGGATAGTGCGACATTGGGATGTACTTTTCAAGATACAAGAAAAGTGTGAAGATGACACACTTGATAAATTAAGATACCTAAATCATTGAGTATTATATTTCAGATTAAGCTTTATGTATTGTTTTATTTCAGGATCTTACTAATTTAATCAGACTTCCATTTTTAAAAAGTTTAAGTTTTAAAGATCCACAATATCAACCATGTCCAGTCAGTATTCTATGTAATTATTCTATTCATCTACTATATCATCTACCTACTCTACAACGATTAGATACTTACGATGTATCTTCTAAACAGCTTGCTGAATTAGCTGAGGTAGGCTACTCATGTTTTATGACATTTATGAGGATTGTTAATATATTTCATAGTACAAATAATTAAACGGGAATTTTACAGGTATTGAAAGAGTATATTTTTTTTCAATAAAAGAGTGAATCTTTTTTTAATTCAGTTCAGTAGAGTGAATAAAACGGGCATTGTATATATATATAATTTTCAGAGCATTTGATAAAAAAGATGATAGTTTATGAATTTCAGAGTATGTTAGTAGGATTGTTAATATATTTCAGAGTTTGGGCAATAAAATACTTCAGCTTATGAATTTAAAATCACAAAAAAAGCTTTGTTATAAATTTCAGTATATTTAGCAAAACTGTTTATAAATTTCAGAGTGCAGTTAGTAAAAATATGATGGTTATAGATTTCAGAGTACAGTTAATAAAATTATGATGGTTATAGATTTCAGAGTGCAGTTAATAAATTATATGATGGTTATAAATTGCAGAGTACAGTTAGTAAAAAATATGATGGTTTTAGATTTCAGAGTACAGTTAATAAAAATATGATGTATTATAAATTTCAGAGTACAGTTAATAAAAATATGATGTATTATAAATTTCAGAGTACAGTTAATAAAAATATGATGTATTATAAATTTCAGAGTACAATTAGTAAAAATATGATGTATTATAAATTTCAGAGTACAGTTAGTAGGATTGTTAATATATTTCAGAGTTTGGGCAATAAAATACTCCAGCTTATGAATTTAAAATCACAAAAAAAGCTTTGTTATAAATTTTAGTATATTTAGCAAAACTGTTTATAAATTTCAGAGTGCAGTTAGTAAAAATACGAGGGTTATAGATTTCAGAGTACAGTTAATAAAATTATGTTGGTTATAATATCAGAGTGCAGTTAGTAAAATTATGATGGTTATAGATTTCAGAGTGCAGTTGATAAATTATATGATGGTTATAAATTGCAGAGCACAGTTAGTAAAAAATATGATGGTTTTAGATTTCAGAGTACAGTTAATAAAAATATGATGTATTAAAAATTTCAGAGTGCAGTTAATAAAAATATGATATATTATAAATTTCAGAGTACAGTTAGTAAAAATATAATGTATTATAAATTTCAGAGTACAGTTAATATAAATATGATGTATTATAAATTTCAGAGTACAGTTAGTAAAAATATGATGTATTATAAATTTCAGAGTACAGTTAATAAAGATATGATGTATTATAAATTTCAGAGTACAGTTAATAAAAATATGATGTGTTATAAATTTCAGAGTACAGTTAGTAAAAATATGATGTATTATAAATTTCAGAGTACAGTTAATAAAGATATGATGTATTATAAATTTCAGAGTACAGTTAATAAAAATATGATGTGTTATAAATTTCAGAGTACAGTTAGTAAAAAAAAGATGTATTATAACATGAGAGTAAAAACAATTCACTGTAATTTGACATCTGTTATAATCAAACTAGAGAAATATAGAGATTTATTATTGGAATTTCCACATCAGAAGATAATGACTTTAGTTAGTGCAATAAAAGAGGTGAGATTGCTTATATTCTATGGCTTTATAATTGGGCTATAAAAGTGTTGAACAATGAAACCTGATATTCACAAAATCGCATGGCTGATTTGTATTGTAGATGGACACAATCACAAAGAAGGTTTCATAATACCTGATCTTTAAATGACATTTAGAAGTAGATGATCATGTATTTGTTTGCAGCAACATAATCTGT